ATTAAAATTATTATTTTATTCTATTAAAACATATTTCTGAAATTTTGAAAAAATTATTTTTTTAACTAGGCCATTGCGACGCCAATCCGTAACCACTTGGAAAAAAATCCACCCATGTTGGCAGGATAAATTCTTACAGGATCATCTAATGTGAAAAAATAATTGCTTTAGTTAAAACTTTAACTTAGAAATCGAAAAAAATCTTGGTCTTAAGATGATGCAAAAAAAAAAAAAAACAATGCACAAGGTCACAAGGCAGTGTCTCTGAAACTAAGATCAACTTGAAAATAATGACAATTTTCTATAGGTGTTGTTGAATTTAACAAGAYAATAAAAAAATCGATTTCTTGAAACTCGTAAACCCATGTAATCCCCTAAATAAAGGGGCAAAATGTGTGCACAGTTTACCTCATCTCCCCATCCTTAATACTGTAATTTGGCTCTATGTGGAGGATCACCTGCCACTAAAATTAACGCAATAAAGTTAACATAATGAGACGGCTCTCCCAGTCGCTGGATATCTATTCCACAGAACACTGGAACACCAGAAATTAAAAAAAGTACGAATTATGGGGATAATTATAATATCAGTGAACGATAATATTTGAATTATTATATTGTATATCCTTTGTTCAAATAAAGGATTGGAAAATTTAAAATACCTCTTTGTTYATATTATTTTTTCCAACACTGTACGGGTTTTACCATTACAAAAAATCTCATCGCATATTAATACATACATAGGTATATGTTATTTATTTATATACATACATAATTGCAATTAATGCATTTGATTGATTACTGAGCTATGGTCAAATGGCTTCTATGTGAGCCAATATGTACAAATTTGTGCGGCATTTTATCTTTATAGCCTGAACTGGGTATAATAAGTTTTCTACGAAATTTGTTATACCCAGAAGGGAACACCGGAGACTTGACGCGCTGAGCCATGTACGTATGTATGACCGTCTRTCTGTATATATTTCTTATTTTAAGAGATATCGATCTGAAATTTCGCAAATGCCCTTTTCTCTTAACGAAAATTTGTTGGTACAGCCGATATCGGATCACTTTAGTCCGAACTGAAGTTAGAGATTTTTTTGTTTTAGTACATGTAAACCAGTAAACACACAAAATAGGCAGTTCGCTCAATATTTTATAGTTTTACAACTTAAAAAACATATGCTGTCTTTTTGTTAAAATTTATACCAAGCCATTTTATATACAATTCTTTATGACCATTTGATTATTTATGAGTACGCCGTCTAAATATACCCATAAATATTACTGCTTGTTTATTTTGATATATTCTTTAACTAAAGATAACTATGGGGTCGAATAAATTATCGATAATATGAGCAATATTTTGACAAATGTATGTTAATGTGTGTTTAAATAATGAACCGCTAGCTTCTAACTTGTAAAACCCAAGGATTAATGTATTAGTGTGGACACGCTCATTAAATGTGGGAAAATATGTTCGTAAATGGCGCTATTACAGACTAGCGTTTAGTAGTAGGTGCTAATTTTTTAAAGCTGATTTATACGTACACACAGACACACAAAGTAAATATCGTAATTGTTTGAACGAAAAGTTACAGTTTTCTAGATCAAGTACTAATTTTGGCTAAGCACATGAGAATGAATCATTTATGTAGATATGTTGTTGTGATGCTMTTAAAGTTTATACATATGCATTGTGCTAAATGTATTCATAGGCATATATTTTCCATTAATTTTAAAATATTTTTATAATCTAATAAGGGTTGTAAATAATGCGTTAAAAAGTGATTGAAGTAAGATTAAAATTAAACTTTTTCTTTTGTAATCTCTAAAATCTTAAATAAAAATAATTTTTAATAAACAAAGAGAGATTACAAAAAAAATTAATCCAAAAAATGTGATTAACCCAAGTAACGGTTTTAAAAAAATTAATTGTAATGTGAAAAAATAAAATACAATTTTTTTTTTAGAATTTAGATTTTTACGCCTTTGCTTATTTGACATTACCAATTTGATTATAAAATAAAATGTAAAAAAATAATCCCAAAAATCCATTTAACTAAATACCGGTTTGAAATAAAAATAAATTTTAATTCCAAAAAATAAAATTAATTTGTTTGAAATTAAAATTTTTTCACCTTTGTCTATATGATGCTTACAATTTGGTTATTATTTTAAAAGAAAAGCTTATTTTTATTAAAATGTCAATGCAATAAATTGCTTTTAATTATACTGTTTCAGTTTCAAATCCAGTTTCCACCATTTTAAATACATACAGCTATGGACAGATTTCACTTAATGTGAAATATGATACTTAATAATTTTATATTTAAAGAAAATAGAATCGTTATAATGTAAAAAAAAAATATTTATTACCTCACTAAAAACTAAAGTAGTCCAAAATGTATTGGTTTTCTATAATTAACATACAACGTTTTGTTCAGTTTACATTATTAAGTCAAAATTGGCTTGGACAAGTATTTAGCGCACTTTAATAGATCAGTAAAAAAATAAATAAATATTATTAACACTTGGCGTTAAATTTCTCTGATATAATATTATATCTAACTTGCTTAATACTTAGTGGAATAACCGTTATTCGTTATCACCGCTTCACATCTGCGTGGCAAGCTCTCTATTAACCTTTGGCATCTGTCCAAAG